TTGAAGGAATTTAAAGGCAGCCCTACCAAAGTCTTTCAAGAAATACACACCCCTAATAATATCTAATTTCTGAGCCTCCGGATTATTTATTATTTGGGGGAGGGGACGTCGTTTATTATTAGGAGGAAGCGATTACTTGTAGATGAATGAGGTCTCCAGTAGAACATGTTAAACTCGTCTACTTGGAAGGTCAGGGGGAATCAATGAAGCAGGTTACAAATGGGAAGGACAAGGGTCGCAAGGGTAGTTTCCCAGAAAAGGGACCCCAATGTAAACCCAAAAATACTGCAAATCTTGTTATGGGGACCCCCAAAAAACTCCTCATTTTGGAAACCCCCAAGTCTATATACTAAGTCCCCCTGACCCCTGCAAGTACTTGCAGTGCCGTGCGCCCTTTGCATGTCCGGCAAATCGGAACGGCTTTGGCCCCACTCAGGATCTTTGCCACCTTCACGCGGAGATGACTGCTAAATGTGGTCAAGGGCTTAGGCTTTAAGGCTTACGGTATATGAGCTACAGTCTAAACACGTAGTGTCACCCTTAAAAAACCTATAATGCTCCCTTACATAGCCCCCTTCAAGGAGTTGACACTATAGCTCTTATGGGGATTATGAAGGGATTGTCAGGTCCCTTAAGATGCCCATCTCAACAGTAACAGGGGCAGCCTGGGAGATCCTACGAGTAGGGATGCATCTGGGATAAAGGTTCCTGCTAGATGACAGCCGGCCCGCCTGCTAGATTCCACTTCAGGCGGAGTGCATCTTCAGCTTCCCTGAAACGGCCCACCTGCGGTTTAGGGTTTAGGGTTTTGGAATTCACCTCATCTCGACATTAGCGATCTTGCGTTCACGCCTGACCACAAGACACCCAGTGCAGTAGGGAGTGAAAACATGGATGCCAGTGACAGTCGCGATGAAATTCGACAATAAGCCCTAGAAGAATGTGCCCTTCATTATCAGGCCTAGACCCTAAGCCCCAAACTAGTTTCCAGGTCCTTTTCCATCCCTATCTAGCTCCGATATAACGCCCCCATATAACTAGGTATCCCTGGATTTCCCACTTCCCATTTCATTGTCCGTTTGCTTTTCCATTGGATTCTCCATATAAACCCAAAGGGATTACCAGGGAGAGAATGAAGAACCAGTCTAGGGTTTAGGGTTTAGGAGCAGGATAGGGCCTGCGCAGCAGCAAAGGCCCATCTTCCACATAAGGCGGCCCATTGCAAGGGGGACTCGCAATCCTGGCTGTGACTGAGGGTTTGGGGCTTTGAGATTGAAAATATGTTTTGCCTTTGATGGTTTGCAATTTCAGAGAACAATGAATAAGCGTGCTGATACCTGAATACAAAACAACACATGAGTTCTTGTTCCCGATGACCCTAAAAAACCAGCCACTCGTGAAACATTGTCGCAAAACCGTATATCTCCAGGAAATAAGACATGAGTTTCTCATTGCAGGCCTCTCCCCTAAACCCCCTCCCCTAAACCACAGGTCCGGAATTCTAAACTCTATGTCTGATGGGCTTCATGGTCTTATCCATTTTTAGACGCAGAAAAATTGAAAACTTAGTAATAGGTCCCATGTCTGATCTGTCTTGATTGCCAAGCTATGAATCCAGCCCTAAAACCTAAATCTCTAAACCCAAAACCTATGCTCCTCAGAAGCGGAGCCTCCACAACTCGCAGAAGGTGTTGGGAGGCATTGAGCACCTCCTTTCGCAGGGGTGCACGTAATAGTAGTACTAGTGGTAGTAGTAATAGTAAAAGTAATAGTAATAGTATTAGTAATAGGATTAGTAATAGTAATAGTACACCCTAAACCCGAAACCCCAACAACTTTGTTGACATGTTGGGCCTCTGCTGCAGCTTTGTCTCGCTGTGCTAGATGTAGCGAGCATAGCGCCACCTGCAGGCCAAGCAAACTACTTTCTGTGATTTCCTGTTTGGGGCCTAAACCCCACCCCCATGTAGTTGGTCCACGGCGCGTATTCTGCCCCGGGTTTAGATGCACTTTCGCTCTTCTGCCTACGGTGACCAGAGCATCCATGCCAAAATCACTAAAAAAAAAAACGTTCGTGTTCCTAAAGCATACGATTACCAGAGCATCCATGCTGAAATCATAATAACGCTCGTGTTCCTAAAGCATACGATTACCAGAGCATCCATGCCAAAATCATAATAACGTTCGTGTTCCTAAAGCATACGATTACCAGAGCATCCATGCTAAAATCATAATAACGTTCGTGTTCCTAAAGCATACGATTACCAGAGCGTCCATGCCAAAATCATAATAACG